GAAGCTGGAGAGTAGTGTTGCTGGTTGATGTAGTCGTTAAAGGTAAGGATTGGTCCGGCAAGGTAGAGAGGCGAGTAAAGAATATAAGCTACATAATTTTGTAGATTATACGTGGAGGGCGGAGCGGGCATCGACACGCGGTCACGCTCCGATAACGCAGAAGGATCAACTTGTTTCTTCTTGGGAGAGTCAGTCATCTTGGTCTTGCTGAAGGTTAAAAATTCCAAGGGTACGTACCTCTACAGGGCTTCCGAATCGATAATCCAGACTCCAGTAATAGTCCATGTTAAAACTTATCAGCCGGAGGACTGTAATTTTAAATAGCACCTCCCACCTTGGAACAATTCCTCCAATACCATCCACCCACTTGGCCCAGGTTATAAAAGAAGAATCGGTATTTGGGGAAACTATTTTCGCAAGGTCCACAAGAGGATATCCGTGAAGCAGTTCGTTTGAAAAGAGGATGCCAATGTTGAAAATCCATGTCGCAGCAGGTATCTGGGCTCGTTGGAGCCTGGTCGCAATTAAATAGTTGATCCAAAGAATAGCCAGGATCTTGAATGCGGAGACGCCGTGCAGTACTAGGATAAGTACTATCCCAAAAACGTAGTCAAATGTCACTCGCTGCTTTAGTCGAGCCTCTGCATCCGCAGCACAACCCTCAGGCTTGTCGTCATCCTTTGCTTTTCCGCCGGTTGGAGGGGCAGTCGATATTTTTGCGGGGGAGAGATGTTCGTAAACTCGACGGAGACAAGGATGGAAGACCAGAAGCAAGGTCATATAAGGAATGTTATCGCGAAACGTGGAGTATTGGGAATCTGAGTTATCCTGCGATTGGTAGCAAGATGTCAGAAACCTAGGTACGGTTGGTAAGAGAGTAAGGCTCTGGGGGACACAACTCACAACTTTACGGCCCGGTATCCAGCCTGGATCCAACAACTTAGAATAGCTCGAGTACGTAGGGTGAGTGGCTATATTCCGAAAGACGCCATCAGGGGTTCGTTAGTAGTTGTACGTTGGCCATCCCCTTTAAAGCTGGTCATTCTGGTGAACGCTCACGTTGTGAAATATCAATTACCGCCTTGAACATCAACGGTACTATCGTAAGGAAGGCGAGGTAGTAAAAGTAAAATTCAACTGTATTCCATCTTGAAGGAGGCGCTCCGGCTTTCACGGACTCCAACCTCTTCCCGTCCGCATCACTCGAACTCGATCCAGGGGCAGCATCATGTGAAGACGTGGTGACGGCCTTTATAGGCGTCGTGGAGGAGACTGTAAAACGAGTGTCGAGGGTATCCAGGGAGTACAGCCTCCGCAACCAGCGAATGACCCCCATAGCGGCGCTGGAATAGGAGAACAGCGAGTGTTCTTCAAGGCTCGCCTTATCGTGTGTCAAATATGAGCAGCGGATAACCAGTGATAACTGATTGGCTACAGCGCTTGCAGGGATGTCGCGCTTAACGCGCTTATGCAGTATGATTATATAATAAATGACAAGGATAATTTATACAGTACATTATTCTATAGTTTCTTTTATATAATTACCAAGATGTTTGATTGAATAAGTCGATATTGATATTTTGGCGATGTTTTTGATATTCGCTGAGCGGTGGCTTTCAACTGATTATTAGCATGTCAAAATGGAACAGGAGCCATAAAATATGATTTCTTCATCGGAATGGGTGGTATCGTTTAGAGGCTAACGGCAGCACTGTGGCCATTTTACAGGTTAATGAAAAGGGATGAGAAGATATTTAAAATGCTTTTCAACATTCTCGAGCTCTGCTTTATTAAATATAATATCACCCTGATTTCTAACTGCGGTCAAAGAAAGAGGTCGATAGAATAATTAAAGGACCGCCGGCTATATAGATAGGGCTATTCTGCCTGCGTTTCTTAATAGTAATGGTTTAGAGGACTCCTGCCCTTATATTTCCTAAGCGGTCATATCTTTAAATTGTCAGCTTGGTTCGAGACACGTTAACTGTGAGAGCTACCTTTATATCCCCCCTTAGATTTCCGAATCCACCGAGTCATTCATTCATTTCATCGTCACAAAAGGCGGTGACGGCGGGCCAGGAGAGGAGAATCAGAACCAGAAGAATCCTCACGCACATTCTCCAGGGTGGCAGCGCGAGGAGTGCGGGTCCGAGCACGTCGAGAAAAGTTCAAACGGGGGACGGGAGTCCTGTTAAGGTCGGGCCGCTCGGGTTTATACTCGGGGTACCTACATACATAGCCTCGCTGCTGTCGGTACGGAAGGTCGCAGGAGAGACCAAGGGGGGCATGACGGGCGTACGGGAGGCCTCGACGTCTCGCAACTCTATCAAGGTTATTGTGAGTTTGTGATTTCCCCGTTTCTATAACTAGGGTTGGCCATTTGGTTGTCCGGCCTTGAGGAAGATTAGGTGGCTAGACGGCGTAGTCAGGCTCCTTGTGCTCAATAGCAGTAGAGCCAGTGGCAATGAGATACGCATGATACCTTATTTCCATGGTCGTTTCATCTTCAAGCCAACTTGTGGTTAGTTCAAGCGCTTTAGTCATCATTTGTGCAATTAGGATTCTGGGTATCAGGAAAAGTTCTCTTTTCTTAACTCCCTTCTGTCCTTCTGCAATGTTGAGAGTAGTGCCGCCTGACGATGCTGGCCGGTAGCAAGTTCAATTTTTGGCGCTCGGTCTTCCAGTCAGACAAGGAGGATAAATCTCTCTTCTCCTTTCCCTTATCTTTGAGGGACGAGAAGTGCACTTCCACTTGCATACAGCCTATTGTGTATATATAGATAAGTATGCAGGGTATAATATGCATTTGTTCGCTCCTTCATAGCCAAGTATATATAACCTGTTTGGAATCGCTTCGAAGTGGCGGCAGAAACAGCATCCTCTCTACATCCAAGAGGCCACCGTGTGTCAAGGAGCCTCCTGCTTTCCAGCAGAAACCGACACTGGGTGGTTATACCCTCGGTGGGGATATGTGAGTTGGAGGTACGAGCCTGCTTGTTGAAGGTACGAAATCGTGGAATTTATCGTGAAGTTCGAAACCAGAAAGGAGTCTCGTGATTGGTCAGAATTCACTCCCGGGATTCACAACTTAACTCGTCGCGATGTATCCACTTAAGCGCGACGCCGACTAGTTTGGCGCGTTTCATATTTGATATTGATATCAGTTCGAACAGAAACCTGGATAGACACTGGTAAGGTTACAGATGCATGAGAATATCACATAGTGCTTTCAATTTAAGTTACCACATTATATTATCTGGCTTCCTTGTAACTACTGACGTGTCGGATAATTATGATCTCATCTCTGATGTCACCGGCTATGTCTATAAATATCAGGAGACAAACCGCCATCATAGAACTAGTATAAACACAAATGTGGTCTCGCAATTTCACCCGGGGCCTTTTAAGTCGCCATACACTCAGTATTTTACAGATACATCGAAGAACTCCACAGTTTCAAGGAATTTCTAACGTCAAAATGACATCTTCCAAAGCTGGTATTGGCGGCGCTTTCCAGCCAATACAGGAGAAACAAGCACAGAATCAGCCAGGGTAGGTGACTTCGTCAAATATACTATTTGTAAGCAGTACTAACCAATTCCCCTAGGCTGGAGAAGAACCTAGCCCCTACGAGTGAATCGACCAAGCTTGAAGGAGCCCATGGATTTGTTGAGTATGTTGGCAGTGGTAAACTAGAGGATAAAAAGGCCATCGTTACAGGGGGCGAGTATGTAGCTAGCAAATTCTCTGTTTTCAGGCGCAAATATACTAACTAGACCTTCATAGTTCTGGCATCGGTAGGTCTGTGGCCATCCTTATGGCCCGCGAAGGAGCGGATGTCACCATGATTTACCTGCGTGAAGAGCAGGAAGACGCTGAGGTAACAGCCGAAGCGATTAGAAAAGAAGGAAGAGAGTGTCTTCTATACCCTGGAAACCTCACAGACGAGCCAACCTGTAGATACGCGGTAGCCGAGCACGTCAAGAAATTTGGCCGCGTCGATATCTTGGTCAACAACGCATCGAGACAGTTTCTATGCAAGGAATTTACAACAATCAACCTCAATGCTGTGAAGGATACCTTTGAGTCCAACATTCTGCAAATGATTACTCTGTGCAAATATGCCGTGCCGCATATGGAAAAGGGAAGCTCGTAAGTTGCTACAGCCTTTGTCAGGGTATGTTGCGGTGGATTAACTCAAGCTGAAAGGATCATAAACACCTCTTCTGTCACTGCATTCCGGGGTTCGGGATCCCTTATTGATTATGCTTCCACCAAGGGAGCTATTATCAGCTTCACAAAGTCGTTGGCTAAAAACTTGATGCCAAAGGGTATCAGAGTAAATGCAGTTGCGTTAGTACCATCATATCTTTACTATACTTCTTTCTCGCGCAGAATGGCAATATTAATATGTTCTGCCTAGTCCCGGCCCGGTTCATACACCTATCCAGCCTGCCTCGCGACCAGCTGAACAAATGGAAGGATTTGGATCCGGCTCTCAAATCGGTCGGCCCGGCCAGCCCAGCGAGGTCGCTCCAAGTTTCATCTTTCTGGCGAGCAAGGAAGCCTCGCTATACTGTGAGTCCTATGATAGTATAGCAGTTAAGTCATCAACGTACTGACGAGAGATTGTAGATGGTCAAGTTTTGCATCCATACCCCCTGGGGGATTAAAACAAGGTAGTGGCATCGGAGGCATGGAACACTCTTCAAAGAAAGTATGAGTATATTAGCAAGTCTGGCCAAGAAAAGAAGTAAAAGAAATAGGAAAGGAGTGTTATGAAATGAATTAAAAATAATGCGCTAAATATTGAATGCTTGGTAGAGGTTAATCTTCTAAACTCCGCTTTTTCAGAATGGAGAATTTCCGTAGGCCCAAAACTCCGAGCACCATACCCATAGAAATACAGTCACAAAGCTCTGGTGGCGTCGAAAAGGGGCCGAAAAAATCCCTAAAATAATACGACAAAGGCGAGCAGTAAAAATGAAATTGAAGGATGCCTAGATGACATCCTGTCGGTCCCAACCGGTGGGTTTGACAATTTCGGCAGATTTAGTAGGATGAGGCTTTTCCGGATTCTCATACTTGGCAGCATAAGGATTGGGATCGATCTTCTGGTTCAGATTAGCCAGCGTATGGTTGACCTCTCGGTGTTTGGCCTCGTCAGCCCTGATATAGTAAAGCAAGTCAACCATTTTCTGGTTTCCTTTAGGCATGTTCCAGTATTTAATTGCAATATCCGGTGCCGGCAAATCTGTCCAAGCCGGTAGTTTACCGGCTTCCAAGTCCTTGATGGCATGTGTGTATGTCAAAACAGCTTCTTCTTCTAGGTATCCAACGAATCGGTGGCACGTTCGTGGCGAGATAAGATAGGAGAGGAAGAAACCGTTGAAGAAAACGCCTTGAGCGCCGAGTACCATGAGCCTCATAAACCAACCTGGTTCAGCAAGTTTGAGGAAGGTAAGGAGATGCATGTGTTCGTTGTATGCTTCTTCGAGGAGTGTCTCGATCCAGCCATTGTCACGTTTCATCTTCCTTAAGCTGTGAAGGTGCCGAAGCATTCCTCCAACCATTCCAGGGACGCCTGCCACGGTCTCCAGGAAAACAAAGCGGATAAGCCATTTTCGTTCGTTCATCTGGAAGTGCTTGGGCGGTGCTGGTTCGCCTGCTTTAGGGTGCCTGTAGCCGGTAGCCAGGTCAGTTCCCCATCGGAGGAGACGTACGGTACCCAGGGCAACCCAGTCCGACCAGCTTTTCGTCTCTCTATGGGCAACTATGATATCTTTCATTTGTTTCTGAGTGAAGCTAAACGTTACGTTAGTTACAATGTCCTGTTATGAGTATCTTGAGGGAGTTTTTTCTTACACAGGGTGTTCGAAGGCTGACTCAGTCTCAACTATTCGTTTTGTTTGTTTTGGTGCAGCGAAGAACTCCTTTAGCCTTGCTGGGGAAGTAGTAGAGAAGTTTCGCCCCTGGTCATGGCTGTTCTGGTTATAGAGTGAAGCCGAGTTTCCTCGCAACCCAATAGCCAATGTTGAGGGCCTGAAGCTACTGTTTAGGCACTTTTGTGAGAGGAGTCTTGCGCCAGAACCCTGGACGAGGACTCTTAAGGGGGCAGGTGTTGGAGCGTGCATTGGAGCAACAGCGGATAGTAGACAATGAAGGCGTAGTGGTAAAAATCAGTAGTAACTGCAGTAATCCTTATTATGCTGGACAGAAGAATACCAAGGTATAGAATTGGCTTCTTCCAGGAACTGCTGCCCCTTGTTGTTATATAAGATTCTTCGAGCCCACAACGAACCAAAGAATAACAAAAAGGGATGATGTCATAAGGAATAACCTTATTACCTAAGCAGGATTCCAGCTCCGAAAAGACCCGCATCGCTTGGCCACTTTAAACGCGCTGCGAAGGGCCGGGGGACCTTTGCCGCCAGTTATTACCTTGCTGCAGAAGCATACAAAAAGCACAGAGAAGAGACAGGCGGCAGTAAAAGTCAGCAACACTCTTAGCGACAAAGAAAAGGCGAGTAAACGAAGGAAAAGTCGGCCGCTGTGCACTGAAACTTGGAGGGAAAATTTTTCGATTGTTATGACTCTTCCTGACACTTCCGAGAGATCCCGGGCGATTCAGCCAGAGAATGATATCAATTCGCTAGTTAGCTCAGCCCTCTGGTTCAGCGCCAGAAAATTTCTGCTACTTCAGATGATCCATCGGACATATCCTCTCATAGCCCTTTGTCTAGCCCCAGGTATTTCGATCGGAGGATACGTACACGTACTCCGTTGCTCCCTAATCCTTTTGCTGGACAGCCAAATATAGCTTAGGTCACTATACATGTTACAGCCAACCACAACTATCTTCGCAGAGTAAAGGTGGGTTTGAAAGTAGGACAAATCCAACTCTCGGGCCGAGTGTCCCTTTTACCGAACAACCTGGAACTTCGTCTCACCCTCCTTGAGCTCGATGTCGGTCTTATCAACTCCGTCTACCCGTGCGTGGCTTGGGCCTGAAGAGATGTCTTTCATCAGCTTGCCAAGTGGCTCCTCTTCTCCCTGAGCCTCACCCTGGACCTGTTTACATGGTTAGTCCAGGTGCAATGGTATGTTGTGCACAATTTAGACACGCACGGATCCCTGGGTGGTGTTTCTGCACCAGCCTGTTATTCCATAGCTGTTGGCTCGTTTCTGAGTGAAATCACTGATATGTTCGTCAGCTACAGCTAGGACGATCAAATTTAATTATTAAGATTTGCGATACCGGAAACAGACACCTTTTGGAGTGGACCTGTTAGTTTGCTCTCGCATCTCAAGTTGTGTTCAACATACCTTGGACGAGCCCGTAAACCTCGAACGCTATCTAAGGCAATTAATATGTATGTAGTTAGCTGGGATAATTAAGATATGTAAGACTCCAACTTACTCTCTTAGCCATTATACGCAGAATTAGAGGATCGCAGTATGCACCTTTCTATATGTTTAACTGGCTGTCTCGGGTTGATAGGAGTTGGTTTTGTTTGATATCTTGTTGTTGCACGGCACTAAAATGCAGTCATAGAGAGGCACGTGATTTTTTTATTTTTTATTTTATTTTATTTTTTGGCCAGAGTAAGCTAACTAGTCAACTTTTGGACGCAATACGGAGTGAATCATCGATCTTTCAGTGTTATTTAGATCTCATTTACAGAGCTAACGCCTTTAACTCGACCCTAAAAAGCTATCAAAGTAAATAAATATTCGGTTTCTCTGGTGTCTTTTATCATCTCCTAACCAATCTGGTCCAATTACCAGCGTTCATTTATTAGGTTTAGCCAATAGTATTAATTAAATTTAAACCAATGATAGCGCGTATCAACTATAGCGACCGGTTAAGAGACCCGCCGCAGAACTGCACAAATTGTTGCCTGTCATGATCCTGGCCAGACAAGCAGCGTCTGCCAGGATATATCATTAAGCAGTGAATTACACAGCGCAGTACGGAGTAAGCTCAACTGCATACTACACTGGACTCACTCTCGTTTCCACAATCACGTATGTGTTTGTTCTCCCTTGTACCTATCAATTGCCCCTCTGCAAGCCAAAATGATATAACATTTGTTAATGAGAACTCTACCTACTAATTAGTGGGTCAAGTAACGGCCGTTACGTGCGAAATGGGTGAAATTGGAGAGTACTGGGAAGAGAACAGAGCGTACAAGAAACGCAAGCTAGAACGCCGGAAAAACAACCCTCCAAAACAGCGCTGCTTCGATTGGATGATTACTAGCGGCATCAGCTATGCCAAAAACCGATCCTCCTTCAAGACATACCGTCATATCAGACCAGTGACACTAGCTTCTGGCACTGGCGCACGTGTTATCGGCGTTGGAAGTGTTGAGTTAAAGGTTCCAAGGTCTCCAGATAACCCAGAGGTTAATACACTCATACTGGACGTCGTTTTACATATACCTGGTGCCATTTGCAATGGATTTAGCCCCCAGATGCTTGGGGGCTCTACATCTTTTGGGGATCCCCTTCAGGGATACGACGATGATGAACAACCATCTTACTATGCTACTACCTTCTGTGGATTATGGAGGCTTGTACTCGACGGAAATCCAGAGGGAGAAACTCAGCTGGCTGAAGCCCGGAGAAATGGTACTAAGCTATGGTTAAGCGTATATATTAACGAGGAAGATGAGGAGCGTATATTTGGTAACTAGTCCCAATGCGAGACGGTAGACTATCTGCTTAGTGCTTTTCATTCCTATGGTCGACTAGTCAAGTCTGGGGCTATATATTTGTTTGTGTCTGTTCACTTCGCATAGATATGTTGTGTTTCAGTACCTGAAGCCGATGCTAGCCCCTCATGTTTTTATGAGTATATCTACATCCGGCCCAGTTACCCAACCCCACCCCGCCTACCACCATTAGATGGCCGTGCTATTCCGGCCCGTCATTCAAATTCCGAACGTGTCGGCTGTGGATTCTCATATAGAATATACATTTCGTTACCTAGCAAATTTCTTGCTAAAGGCATATAACTAGCTATTCTCTCTGCCACCGTTCAGCCGGCTCTTCTTTTTGTCTCAGCAATTTGACATTTCTAAACGCGGTGACTTGCATATTTTGTCTTCTACATTCACTACTCCATACTGTTTTGAGTAGCTAGGCAATAAACGCTTAAGATGGAGATCTGATGGCTCAAACGAGGCCAAAAGAGCCTGAATATATTGTTGAAAGGTAGTCGCAACTCTACAACTAGATACATGTTATCCATAACTCAGGCGTCAACAGGTCAAAAGTTTGTCTTGCTTCAAACGAGTTGCCACCGACATCCTGAAATGATCTCTGCGACTGATATATATACTGATGTTGGATAATGCCGATATAAGGAATAATCGTAATTTCAGTAGGTACGCCCACCTTTCACTGCTTATCTCAGACTCTATTCATAATGCAAAGCATGCGCGCCAATTCTTAAACACACTTTTATCGGAGAATTCAAGCGGCTCGGCCCGCACATTGTGGGGAACGCGCCAAAGATTCCTTCTCGAGCTCACCTTTCAACTTGCTGCCTTGACGTTCATTTAAAACAAAGTAAACATTGGTTATTTGAGGCACCCTTGGAACTGGAATGGAGTTTACTTATATCTCATTTACGATGTAGCATTTCCTAAATCCTTGAAGTAGGAGACATCCGTAACCGGTGGACAGATATACTCTGTAGTTGTACTTTTTATATGTGGTTCAGTATATGACCCCTTCTATAATAGAAGTATTTAAAGCAATTTAAAGAATAACATATTTATCGAGGGGAAATATATTCGAGTGAGTGCTTTAGACCTGCAGGGTGTTCGTATATTCAAAAAAGAGTGGGCCTGGCATTGTATCTCAACTAGCCTACTAAGCATTTTGGGCATCCCAGTCAGGCGTCAAGCGTGAAATAGGATAATTCTGAGCAGGTGTCACTTCGTAGGAGCCCGGCGACAAGATCATGTCTTCCTCTTTGCCTTTCGCTCTCTAACACAAAACTCCAGTGTTCGGGCAGAACAGCTGAGTAAGCCGGATATAGGAGTATTGATATACCGAGGAGGTATTACGTAATAGGAGCAACGAAAAAGTTCCAGAAAGGAAAAAAAAAAAAAGAAAGTAAAAAGAAAAAAAAAACATCGAAAGCCGTTTTGGCCGAAGCGATTTTGTTTTTATCCAGAGCTTGAAACTCCAGCGTTAGAGCTATTTGGTGCTTCTCCATTCGTTTGTTTCAAAACTGTTTATCTATTTTTCCTTAGCTACCATGGACTTGAACCCCAAATACGACGGCTATGACTTTCCCTTCCAGTCCGCCACTCCGCAGAATGGCCACCCCGGACACTTGACCGATCAAGAGATAGCTGCAGTCCACCAGCTACGGATGCTGCTGGAGGCTGAGGGATATACAGAACGCCTTGACACTTTAACATTGGTACGACAGTACATAATTTAGTGGTGAAAGAAATGGTAAACATCAACACTGGCTAATCAGTACGTGGCGGGATGACAGCTACGATTCCTCCGTGCTCGCAAGTTCGACGTAAATCTGTCGAAGCAGATGTAAGGCTAAGGATATTCTGGTCTGTCTATAGATAGATTAGCTTGGACAGAGCATTCCACTGACCGCCTACAGGTTCGTTGACTGTGAAAAGTGGCGGAAAGAAATCAAGCTCGATGAGCTCGTCCCTGTCTGGGACTATCCCGAGAAACCCGAGGTTTCCAAGTACTATAAGCAATTCTACCATAAAACGGATAAGGTTCGAACCTCGGGACACCGACT